CAGAAATTGATAGTTAGAATATGGTGAATACACAGGTGGAGTTGAAAACCTTGGAGGGAAGATGAGGTAATTTCTTCTAATATAAATCTATTTTTCCTGATAAATATTAGGTAAGCAGAGCAGTAGATAATAAGGAGTATGTGGGGAGTGCACTAGGGATTTGAGAAGAGAGGAAATGAGAAATATGGATTAGCTTAGAGAGAAGGAAAATAAATTTACTATGGAATTTATAGTAGAATTGTCTGGCTTTTGTGAGTACCCGTATGAGATTCATAATCATAAATATAAGTGAGTCCAGTCAGCACATTTGTGGCATTATGACTGTCTTAAGCAGGGTCATTACTACCATGTGCCTGAATTATTACACTAGTTACCCACCTAGTCTTCCTTCTCCCAAGTTTCCCTTGAGACTGCCACATCAATCTTCTTAAAACACTTTTCTGCATAAATTAAGCTTCAAGCCAAAATCTTCATTATTTCTTCTTGGTCTTCAAAGCCAAATCCTTAGATTTTCCTCTCTAGGGTCTGTCATAATATGGACTTAGACTCTCTCTCCAAACATGGCAAAGCATGAGATACTTCTCACTGGGTGGTAACATGGTCTATCTTGTATTTTGGAATGGTTTTTATGGCTTTGTGTGGAACCCCACTGGAAAGGGGAATCAAAGTATTCAAGGGGACTAGCAAGGGACCAACCTATAAAATATGATGATGCCCTCAATTAAAGCATTAGCAGAGGAAAAAGAGGTGAGCTGATGTTGCTGAGATACTAGGAAGGTAAACTCTCTTGACTTGAATGTGAGAATAAAGTGACAGGGATGTATATAGAATGACAAATGGATTTTTCATTTACACAATTGTATAAGTGGTCGTAATACTCATTGAGAAAGAGAAAAGAAAAAGGAAAAAAAACTGGAGGAGGAGAAACAATTGTCAAATTCGGTGTAAATTAAATTGTAGTTATGTAAGTAGCATGCATATATGATGTCCAGCAGCCATGTGAAATGTATCTGAAGTTTAAGCATACAAACTGTCCTAGTGCTCAAAATGTGGGACTCAGAGGTATTGAAACCATAGATTGGGGTGTCATCATGCACTTAGTATATGTATGGAATTAGAGAAGCAGGATCCCTGAGAAAAATATTGTTTAAGTATAGAGGAATAAATTCCTCAGGAAGGAGAATGAGAAGTGATAACCAAATGTGTAGGAGAAATAAAATAAGTGGTATCACAAAAAGTAGAATGTCAAGTCCACTAATATCTTTACTCAGAAAAAAATGGGAAACGTTAGATATAGTAGTTCTCAAGCACTAGTTCTGGTTAGCATCAGCTGAGGACCTTTCCTCAAAACCCAAACAAAACAAAATGTAAAAGGTAACGTCTGGATGTATACCTTTTCATTTAAATCAAAACATCTGATGGATAGCAAATGTTTCTTTTTGAAGCTGCCTGATGATTCCAATGAAGCATAAATGTAGAAGTCTACTGAAATGGAGTGATTTGGCTCTGCATGTTTTATATATTAAATGAAATAGAATAAACATAAATGGAGAAAAATTAAGTTTTGTGAGGCAGTAAAACAGTGCTACAACTATGAAAGGGTAGAGAATATCAAGTAGCTGTATGTGATAGGCTGCAATAAATGAATAAATAAATAAATAGGAACTCTTCACCCTGTAGGCATTGCCATTTGCAATTTGATTTTGCTGCTCCTCTCTGGAGATGTCCAATCTGTTTCCCTGCATCATAGTCTGTTTCCCTGCATCATAGTCTGTTTCTCTGCATCATGGTCTGTCTCATAACTTTCAATGACTGATAGAAGGTGGCAATAAGGATGTTTCATAAGTTCTGAGCCTAGGCCTATCAAGACCTTAAAGCTTTTGTTCCCATTTTCTTGCCTTCCTAAGACTACACTGTGAAGAATCCCAGGTTATTCTCCATAATGGTGAGACACCATGTAAGAGAGACACCACTGATATAGTTCCATCCTTTAGACATGTGAGTGAGGCCATCTTGGACAGTCTAGCACCATTTGAACCATGACGTAACTGCAGACACGTGGGTGATCCCAATCATGACCAGCAGAGGACCCTCCATTCTTAGCCCAGCCCTGATATCTGACTTACCGGAATAGTTTAATTATTGTTCAGAACTCAATTATTTCATTTTGATGCATTTTTAATAGTGTTCCCATAACTTGATTCCCCACAACTTATTTTGAGTATGCAACTTGAAAAGGGTGACCAGAGATGGTTCATTATTCCTGTTGCTGCTATTCTGAAAACCATTACTGCCAGTAGAGTAATATAAACAGCTAACCTTTGTTGAACATTTAATATTTATCAGAAACACTGCATGAATTTAGCTTTCGGTATGTCAACTTATTGTAAAACTCTAAGACCTGGGTTCCATTATATCGTCATTTTTTTTATATGAAGAAACCAAAGCTCAGAGAGGATAAAGTAACCTATTCAAGGACACATGCCTAATACATTTCTGAAAAGTGACTTCACACAGATTTGACTGATTCCATAGCCATTTTCCTCAGTAGTTTTAGAAATCATTTTAATTCTACATCTGAAGCACTGTCATGACATGTTCCCAAAATTTCTTTTTGTGCATTTGCTGAAAGACAGAGGCTTTATGGACACATTACTTTTTAATAAGAAAAGAATATTACTATTCTTTGAGGACTCACTTTGTGCCAAGGACACATTGATAGAACCTAACATAATGCTCACAGCCATTATACATAGCACATATAATCTCCATTTTTATGCACTAAAATCCAGAGATTAAATAATTTCCCAAGGTTCTTAAACCTCAGTCTGGTAAGGTTCAGATCCTAACATTCTGTGGGACCCTAAGTGCAAGTTCTATTTTATTATTGGTATTTTTTATTTTATATCCAGTGAGAGTCAACATTCCCAGAGTCCTGGTTTTTCCTACCAGGGAAAACTTCCAGCAACTATTCTATCCTTCAGAATCTGTTTTAAAATTTCATTGTCTCAGGGAGGTGTTTACTGATCTCCCCAATAATCTTGCTTTCGCCATTATATGTACCATTATATGTTATTTTTCTTTCACTTTTATAAAATTCTTTCAACATTTCCCATTTCTATGTCCTCAACTAAACTAGAATCTCCATGAGTATGTGCATATTTTTTCTTATGAACTTTTTAAACCTCATCCCAGCACAAGGCCTGGCACAGAGAAATCCCTCAATAAATATTTTTGTGAATGAATTTATCAACTTTTATACTATGGTCAAGCCTGGAGAAATTACATTTGTGTTATTTACATTTCTTATTGCAAAGATCCCATAATAAAGCAAGAAAGTCTTGATAATAAGTAAAATAAGTACAGATTTGAGATGGGACATGAAGGCCATTATAATGTGAAATTCTACTTCATTAAAAGCCTGTCATGGAGCCCAGAGAAACAGCCTTGATGGCTTTGTGCTTGTGCTGTCAAAGTACACATCTTAGGCCACTGCACTCACCGAGAGTATCAGTGAGTATAGGTTTGTTTCCATGGACACCTATCAGTAGCAGAAGGTAGGAAATAAACTAGACCAAAACATACGGCATTGCTAGCATACTGCAGTCAGAATTAAGGAAAAGTTCATAATTGGAATTGAGGCTAAGAAAAACAGCTCACATGTGTTAGATGAAGAAAATGAAGTCAGATATTGAGATGATTAAAATATATTTTAATTTTTCTACTATTTATCACTTCACACTCTTTTTGAAAAGTAGCAATATTTAAATAAATAAATAGGTGAGACATGTATCTCCTAATAGTTGACTGTGCTGAGTACGAAGATGAATAATTTCTCTCCCTGGAGAAGATAACACTCAAAAGGATGACTTAGAACCAGGTAGAGAAAAAATATGGTTGGTTTTATTATTCAATTTCGTACTGGAACATTAACACTGCATAAAGCCAATCAGAAGACCACATTTTAATGCACTTGGAAGTAATTATTTCAAATAAATACATAAATGTGAAAATATAATCTATGTAAATCTATGTAAATGGATGGTTACAGTGAATTAGTATATAACATTACTGAGGAGATTGCTCAGGGTTTCATTAAATAAAAAAGAGTAAAGACCTGGGTTAGCAAGAAAAAGCTCTTTTGCTCTATTTCAGTTGCTTTAGGTTGTTAATCTGGTCCAAGATGATCAACTTCTCATTAATCATAATAATTAGGGGTAGATTTACTGAGCATTAGTGTAATTTTCAATCATGCTAATAGTTCTGCAATCCTCCATTCATTAATATAAATGAGGTAAATTAGAACCATGACATTATAAAGAAACGGCAGAAGCTGCGGGAACTTTCATGGATCCTCCCTAAACTCCATTAATTTAATTGTAATATGTTGTTCCTTGATACTTATTTTCACTCTCTTTATTTTCTGGTGCTAATGGTTCTTCAGATTGGTTAATAAGCATACTAACCTCTTAATTTAAGTGACTGGCATGGTGTGGTCTAAATCATACATACTTATCTTGTCTCATTATCTTTAACCCTTTCTTAAATGTTCAGAAAACACCATTTATGGACTGATCACCTAGCAGTTGTGTATTAGATTTATCTGCACAGTACAGAAGATATGAGGCATCCCAGTCTTCCACAGGATCTGAATCCAGAAAACATTATGGATTACACTGATATAATTAAAAATATGAAAGCAGTTTCAAAATAAAAATTAATCTCTTCATTGCATTTGTACGATTTGGATTTATATTCTAAAGATGCAAAACCAAACCCCCTTCTTCATGTTATAAATTGTTTACTAATTTCCAGAAAAGTTTTTCCTGAAATCACTGCCTAAAGTTTAAAGTAGAAGTGTCCTCTTTTATGGTCTTTATCTGATTGTTTTTTTCATAGCATTTTTCCATTTTCCAAAGCCAATATTTATTTTTATGATCATTTATTTACTTTTGCTTCCTCTAGATTATAAGAAAATTGAGAGCAGGAACCCAAACTCTACCCCCCGTTGCTATCACATTGGTTGGTCCATTAAAATGACCAGTTACTACTTATGGATGAATAAATAAGTGACCCACAGCATTTGGGATGTTTATGCAAAAATTAAATCATAAAAAATCTTAATTAATCTTAGAATCTAGAATCTATTTTGTCCTTTTTTTTCAATCAAGGAAAGCCTTTGTTCTAGGATTAGAAGTTTTATTCTGTTTAGTTGAAAGATGTAGTCATTTAATTAGGAGAATTTATTTTCTCAAATCTGTTTATCAGAGGGGAAAACTCATCAAATTGGGGAAAACCTTGGGGGAATTCTTGCCTCCAACTTTACTACACTTGCAGTAACTTGTCTTCCCATTCATTTTTAGGGGGATAAAAATATTATCTTTAACCGCTTAGGGTTCTTTTTTTTTTTTTTTGTGGTGGGGGGGGAGGGGCTAGGCCTGAGAATTAAACTGACATAAGAAAGATTAACGGAAGAAATGCATACAGATTTAATGAGAGTTTTATGTGACAAGAGATCTCTCATAAGGAAATGGAGACTTGAAGATACAAAATTAAACCCTTCTGTCCTCTATTGGTCAAAAGGTAGTAAATTATGAATATGTGATGGTGTAAAGGGGCTGAGGCTAGAGTAGTTAACTGGATGAAGTGGCCCAAAACTTTAGAATAACAAAGTTCCTGACCTCGACTTTCCATATGTGGTGATAGGAATACTTTCCTTCTGGTATTGGGAGAATATTTTTCACCAGAGAATTTTACTTTTAAAAGAGAATATGAAGGTTGGAGTAATTCTCTTGCACAGTTATTTTACGTATCTTTACCTCAAAATAATACTACATTGGAGTGACACATTTTGTGGTATCCTATTCTTAATTCCTTCATATCCACTTTAACTCCTTTCTTTGTCCTGGGCACTGAAAATGACCATGGAGATGTCATACATGGCAAGGTCCCTGTTCAAAAGAAGTTAGTCTAGTTGGAATGACAGTAATGAAAAACATTTATGCCACTAGTTAATGGAATGCTGGATTTGAACTTATTTTTAAATAATAAAATCTCAGTTTTCCACTAAAATACATAGCTATGTCAAAGGAGTGTGGGACTTCATTAAAAGTATGAGGACAAAATTACGCTACTAGCAAAGATTAAGTATGAGAATCATATAATCAACATTTTACTTGTTTGTTGGCTTATTGTGGCCAGAAAAAACAGGGCATGAATAGGGGTTGGAAAGAATGAGGAGTGAGGTGAGAGGGGAAGAGAGATAAAATATGGAGCAGAGACCTTGGAAACATTTATTCATCCTGGCAAAGGGAATGAGGTAATAGCAGTAAGGGGGAAAAGAGGGGTGGGTTTCCAGAGATGCTGAAATGGAGAAACAAAACAGGTTTTAGCCTTTCTCCTTGCCTTGCAGACTGATGGGGGATTGAGGAGAGATGTGAGTGAGGGAAGAGTGGGGTCAATAAGATATTCTGTGCGTACGTATACCTGTGCACATGACGTTGCTACTTCTGCTTGTAAGGAATATGGGCTCAGAAGCAGGCTGAGGAAATACTACAGGTTTATATTTCCTCTTAACAGTGTAGAGAGAGACTGAGGGGTCTTGAGCATGTCGGGGGATGCAAGGGGTCTGTCTTTGCTGTTATTGCCCTGTTTAATACTACCACCACTGCTGCTGCTGATCCTCGCACTCTGTATCCCCAGCTCTACATAAGGTTGCTCTATGTTTTCTTTACAGTAGTCAGAACAATCCTCTGATAAATGTTCATCCTTATTTTACACTGGGTAAACTGAAGCATAATGAGGTTTAGTATTGCAAGGTGGTATTGCTAACCACCGGAGCAGAGATTCAACCTGACTCCAATGCCTATGCTCTTTCCAGCTCCTTCTACCCACTCGGTTTCAAATCATTCAAGTTTGAAGCACCTGTGGGGAACCCAGATTTTCTCATTTGTCAAGAGTGGATAATAATAATTGCCTAAATGCATCTGAAAGTGTGAAACACAGGTATGCTCCCAAGTATGAAAAATTATTGTTGAAAAGCCTTTAATTTTTTTCTATCATTCAGTGTTAATTAATTTCTGAAAAGAATTTGATTAAACTGTGGATTTCAAAGTGGCTTGCAATACTAATAAATCCAGGCAAAAATTTTCTTGGGAATGCTAACTTTATCTCCTAGTTAATGCTTCCAATAGAGAAAAGGTTATTATTGTAAATTTTTCAAAAGTCGAATTGGGAGGAACTTTAGAGATTATTTAATAAAAGCATTTATTTGAAAAAACTGACTTCCAGGCAAAAGTTGCAACTCGTAGCCTTTAAGTCATATCCAGCGAGGTATGTTTTCTTTCATAATGTAAAGTATTAATGAGCAGCATCAGCACCTTTCTTCTGACCATGAACTCCCTAGTTTGCTACAGTCCCCACCACTCCTTATTTTCTTGCAGTAGGCAGTTTAGTCAATAACTAGCCCCTTAGGTCTTATGTTTGTGGTGTCTAATCTAGAAACTTAGTGCTTTAATTAGTTCTACAGGGGGAAATAGAATCTGAAGTTCAAGATTAATTATCTTTCAGTCTACTAAACCCACCAATAATTTCTTTCCTGTGATGAAGAATGTATTAGTTTACTAGGCATGGCATAACAAAATACTGCAGATGGGTGGCTTAAACAATAGAAATTTACTTTATTACAGCTCTGCAGGAAAGTCCAAGGTTAAGGCATTGGTGTGTTTCATTTTCTTGAGGCCTCTCTCTTTGCCTAGCTGCTGATCTGCTTCTCTGTGTTCTCAAATGGTCTTTTCTCAGCATGTACATCCTCCGTGTCTTACCTCATAAGGATACTAGTCTATTGGATTAGGGCCCACCTATGTGATTTTAATTTAGCTCTAATTGCCTCATTAAAGGCTCTATCTCCAAATACAATTCATATTCTAAAAGTGTTGAGGATTAGAATTTCAAGATATGTTATAGGTTGGGAGTACAGTTTTGTCCACAAAAGTTTTTGTTGAAGGGAATGTTTTTTCAACAGGTTGGAACTGTCTTTTCCCTAGGAAGTTTATAGCACTGTTTTTAACCTCCACTAGAGTACTGTTTTATCTTCATCACAGAATTGCAAATATCCTTAGGGGAAAAATTAAACCTCTGTGTCCTTTATAAAAGAAAATTTCAACAAATAATTTCATAAAACAAACCCTTTCAATTTCAATTTAACACTTAATGGTCCATTTTACTTCTACTTTAGCATGAAAAAGTTATGAAATAAACAACTGTGTTTTTTTGTTGTTGTTGTGTGGAAGGAAGAATTATGGTTAATTCAGTTGAAAATATTGCAGTATACACTTTATTCAGGCTTATTTAAGTTTCACATCAATGTATGATTGTAATGAGTTGCATGTATCTATATCAAGTTTATTTTGGTATGGGTTGTTTTTATGTAGAATTACTATTATAGCTATAATCGATATATCATTAAGCTATCTAGATTTTAGAACTTCATTGCACTTTATTGTGTTTATAGGAAAAATGCTACCAAGTTAATATATATCTTTTGCCTAGTTAAAAAACATAATTCACATTTAATATTTTACTCCAGAAACCAAAATAGGAATGGTGTTAATTTTATCAAAATAAATTGGATCACCTAGTGAATTTCTCTATAGTGACAAATTCTGAAGAAGATTAAAATGTATATGTATTTAGATACATTTTATTTACCATTGGGGTAACTTTGCCACAGAGATTTTGAGAGATTTTCTCAAATTGATGGAATTACAAAGAAGCAAATGAGATATGTGGAAATGTAGCCTATTTTTTTTTAATTTTTTATTTGTAAAATCATCGCTTTTAGGAGCATAGCAACAACTGTTAAATGTCATGTCAAACAATGCCAGAGATTTTCTGTACTGACATTTTTCAGCCTCTCAGATACAGGTAATGCCTCTTATTAGCTGTGTGACTTAGATAAGTCATTGAACTCTTTATGGATGTTAGTTTTATTACCTGTGAAGTATGGACATTATTTTGGATATTTAAAGAGATAGTGTGAAAACTCCCAGTACAGGGTTGGGCACACAGTAGGAATCCTGCTGGTGGTTATCCTTCCTTCTTTCCATGGGCTTCCAGAATGAAACTGCTACTTTAAGATTGTCTGGAATTTAAATTAGAGCAACATGAGTTTGGAATTTTAAATTAGGAGAATAGCAATAATATTGGAGTTTCCCTCCCCCCCTTTTTAGAGAACTTGAAAATGGAACTAGTCTATTTAGATGACATAATTAATTGCTCAGTTGGAGAACATGATTTTTATCCATGCACTTCCTTCAATTATGATAGCAATTGAAAGGGAAGTTGAGGAAGATGGAGCAGGAAGGGATAGAGGAAAGAGGTGGAAGGGAGAAAGAGAGAAAAGCAAAAATTTTGAGGTATATTGGCATTATTTTTCTTGCCAGATGTCTAATTATTTAGGTTTCAGATTTTTTTTCTCTTTATGAAAAAGACATTTCAATTTTCAAAAGAGTTCATTTTTGAAATTTTGCTAATTTGAGAAAGTATAGAAACTTTCTTTTACAGTCAATTTGGTTTTAATGAATTAATTGCCCTTTGCAAAAAAAAAACAAAAAAAAACTATTTGCCAGTTTTTTTCAGAAATGATGCATTTGCATCAGGTTGCCATCTGTCTTTACTTAATATAGGAACAGTGACACAGTAGAGAGTTAGGGAATCAAACTTCATCCC